GCGAGTTGGAAACCGACGTCGTTAAACGCGCCAACTAATATTTATCTATGTTAATGTCAATTACCGGCTCTGACAGTGTATGGAAACGGTCAAAGAATGCGCAGTCGAGAGGAAATATGTGTGCATGAAGGAGAAAGAGAGAAAAAATAACATTAAAACTCCGCTAAGCCTCCATTATTGCGGCAGAAACTAATATCTGTTGTGACATTCAAAGCGTTAATGAATACAAGTTGAAGTACAAATGAATGAAATGAGTTCTCTGACAACGCGCGTCGGCTCCATTATACTACTTTTTGCCTCATAGCCGGCTCATTGATTGGCAAATTCTGATACCGCTGAGGCGAATAAACCGTTAGCTTCTCTCCGAGAGAGAGAGAGAGAGAAAGAGAGACTCGTAATAGTAGTGGCTTTCACATGATGCTCTCTTGCGCCTTGATAATCATAAAATAACAACCTACGTTGTTGTTGGCGAAACTATCCACAATCAACGTACAAGAAGTCTTTATCGTTTATCCAGTCAACAACTTGCTCCTCTGCTTTCCCCTCTATTATACGCAGTTGATTATTTTACTTAATATCTCTATTACACTGGTCTGTCCTTCCATGCGAAATGCTCAATTCGTTATTGCTGTTTTATTATTATTTTATTACCACTTGTCTAACAAGTGATATTCTATTTATTAGCGAACATTGATCTCTCTCTCTCTCTCTCGCTCTCTCTTCTACTCTCTCTTTGCACTATGAAATCTCGTCATCGGTTTTTTTTTGCAACCCGAAAATAATCCGTTTCCTAATAATGGCGAAGTAACGAGCTTAATCCACCGTGCTAGCGATAAACTATCGGCGATTCTCGGCGCAAGAAGGCCACTTCCCTTCTTGCCCGGCAACCTTTTGCCACGGCTTTCCCGTTGGTCCTGCTCCCTTTCACCACCTATACACGGATGGCACGAGCGAATCGTCTCATTAGCCGAGGCCTTATATGGCGTTCAATTAAGATTTTTGCCGGTGGTAGGTAGGTAAATCCACGTAATGAACACAAGTTGGCGACCCTACGGAGCGAAGAGAGGCTTTACGGGCGCGCGGAGAAAGTTAAGTAGCTCGTAGCCTGTGCAGATTTTTTGCGATCGCTCGATTTCGTATCGGCCGTTGATCACCTTCTTAGCGGGATTGCTGGCGCGGAATTGAACGAAAACATTTGTGGAAAGTATAGGTCAAAGAACTTTTTGTCTAAACGTTTTTCCCCAACTTATTTTTTTTTTTTTTTTTTTAAATTTCTACATTTCTGAAAGCCAACGACGTTTGAGCAGCAGCGATTTTATCCGATGAAATGATAGAGTTTCGAAATTTAGAGGCAAAGAATTTAATACATATAAATGAATCTGACGAATTAATTCACGCGTCGGATCACAGTATGTGTTTTCCATTACCGTCCTCTCCAGGAGCACTAGTTGTAATTGACATCTTGTCCAGTGTAGTCATACTCATCCGTGTGTTCACGGTCTGTCCTCTCCATGCGGCTCGCAATCCCGTGATTCCGCGTGTTTCCATCGCAGACTCGTGTTAAGTCCAAGAACCATGACCGGCTTAAACTCCATTCTCAATGTCTCGTGGCGGTAATCTCAAGACGAAGTTTATCTTGCTGCACTATGCATTACGACGGACACAATGGAATACCCTATTCATGCACAGGAGATTAAAACCAAATTTATTATACAAGTTCCCGCGTTAACTCTACAATTTTAAAATATTATATTTCGGATGTTGTTAGAAAAAGTAATATTTTTGACAATTCGAAAAATTTATATTAACCTCTCTACAAAATTTATATTAAAAATTTATATAAATTCTCTCCAAAGTATAGTACAAAAGAACAAGTTTTTTTTTTAATTTTTGCAATTTGATATTCTATATTTCGCAGTCCATATTTCACATTATAAAGATTATTTAATTGGAATTTTTTGTTCAGATAAAAGTTTGCATATTGCATAAAATTAAATAAAATACTACTGTATAAATACTATTTGTATGTGTTATAAATTTTATAATTTTTACACACGTTATTATTTCTTTTTGCGGATTGTATGTACATATGTGTATATATATATATATATATATATATATATATATCAAAATTTGCGCGAAGTCTGGATTTACATTTTGTAAGCTTTATTCGGTGAACCAGATTGCACGTTTTCCGGCGCGTTCTGATCCCGCGACAAAAGCATCGGTCGCCGGCAATTATTCGAGGACGCGGCACATTCGGCTGGCTCT